AGTTTATTTGTGTGAATTTTGCAGGCTGTTAATCTACAGCCCTGCTGAGGTGCCATGGTAACAGACGCAGCTCCTGGCTGAGATTGTGCCAAGGGTGGAAAATCATTCTCGGTTTTGGATTTGTGATGTACTTTTTGTAAACTTCTGCTCTCACAGCTTCATCCCCAACATACTGAAAAACCTCAGCAGATTTATTTAAGCCTATTTTAAGTTCTGAACTTGGAGACATAGGGATGTCAAATCAGTAAAAAGGCACACAGAATTAAACTGGTGTTTGGAGAATGTAATATAAAGGGCAGCCTACAACAAACTGCTCCATGAATTTCTTTTCCAAATATGTTTACTTGAACCTATGTGGGGATAAAAAGGCTTTACAAACCTGTGGCATAACATTTACACAGCCTTCTGCAAAGCCTTCACTTTCCAGATCCAAAGGTATTGGATGACAGTGTTTCTCAATTTACATTGATGAGGGTAATTGTGATTCTTCCTCTGTCTGGAAAAAAACCCCAGACTTGATGAACAGCATGATACTTGGAGTCATTGGAGGCTGTGCAATGCAAAAGCAGCCATTTAGCATGAGCTAAGTGAGTCTGTTAGATATAATGTAATTTACATCTGATACTGAAGTGATTTCGAGAACAAAAATCCATGTGTTTTCCAAAGTCTTAGAGCTACTTAGTCTAAATCAGGAGAATGAGGCATCTTACATAGCATCTGGTGCTGAAAATGACTGTCATTATCTGAGCAGTTGTGCCTCTTGACTGAGAGCAGGTAAGGGCTATATTAGAGCTATGAGGAAAACAGGTATGTGTGAGAACGTAGACCAGGAGCCTAGCGAGCTTGAGAGAGAGTTTCACAGCGATGTTGGAAACAGCCAGGGAGGTACCAGCCTGTAGTGAGCAGGTACTTATCTTGGGGAGCAATGTGATTTTCTGTGTCTGCTGGCAAACACTGGCTGCACATCTCCGTGCGTCGCAGAGCAGGGACAGTAACAGCAGCGCGTGATGCAGCCCACAGAGTACCCGGGGACCTGTGGTGTGGTGGTTGCTTGAGAGCATGGCTGCAGCCAGGGTGGCTGTGTCATTGGATTGGGTCTGTGGCCAGCTCTTGGCTCCAAAACCCCTCCTGGGAATCGCTGTGGGAGGTGGTTGTTGCCAAGTACCCGTGCCAGGTGTATTTCTGACAGCTGAAGAGTGTCCAGGACCAGCTTTTCCTGGCCACAGGGTGCCCCCGGCTCTGTTGCCTTCACCAGGCTTACCTTCACAGGGAGGGTGGCACAGTGCAGCCAGCAGTGCTGTATGCCTGTTGAAGGACAAGAGGTTGTCTGAGGCAGGTGGATTCTGCAACAAAATGCATGCGTTTTCTGAAAGAAGGAGTATGCAAGAATTTAGGATTCCATCCTTTTACTAGTTTTGCATTTTTTAGTGTTTTCATAGTTCCGTGTTATGACTGAAGATAGGTAACAACTCTTCAGTTAATACTGTGTGGAAAAGTCTCGCATTCTGAGTGTTATTTCCTCTCCCTTTTGTTAAAACACCTCTGTTGGACAGCTGGCTTTTGGGTTTGTTTTGATAGGCCCACACAGTACAGTTTTCAGTGTTTGTTAACAGGCTTTGTGGTGCCCTTGTGAATAACCAAATTATTATATTCAGTACCAGAACCAGGAGTAAATGTGTTCTGTTAGTGTAGGCTGCAGAGAAGCCTGGCTGCACAGCAATGAAACGGCAAAAGCAAAACAATTTCTTGAATAACTGTTAAATGTATTGTTATAAACAATGAATAATTTGCTGACAAACCATAGTGCTATTAAAAATGGAGATGAGATGATGTGATGGATTTTTTTTTTTTTTTTTAAGTGCTGCTTCTTTTGCCTGTCAACAAAAATTCTCTATGTTTTAATGAACTGCACGGCTTTTCTTTCCTGACAGTGCTAGGCTCCTGAGCTCACAACTCCAGCAATCACCTACCACTCAGGAAAAATAGCTTTTGATTGTACAACAGCTCTTCATTTGGCTGTCTTGGCTGCAGTTTAAAGAAGTAATTAATTCTGTACTTTGTTTACGTGTTTCTCAGATTCTCAATAAGCAGTGGGAGGTTTGAGAGAGAATATAAATCTGTAATTTTATTTTAAGGACTTTTTCTTGTTGTTCTTGTATTATTACTCCTTTAATAATTTGAATATATACGTATTAAGTGATTCAAGTCATAAGAACCTCTGAATGCCACATTCTTCCACTTCAGCATTGTAATAAATATTACTTCAGTCAAGAAATTATCTTCTCAGTTTCAAAGGGACTGCTCACTGAAGTAGTTGCTTATAGGCACGGATAAGAACATCAGACTGTGGCTGAATGGGTAAATGGTCACCAATGACTGAGGAGTGCAATGCCAACTCCATTGTTCCTGTCTATCTAATGCTACAATTTACTGTGCATCTTTATATGTGATCTCTTATAGCACCATGGTAAAACTGAAAGGCCAGGTATACATTAGGTGATTTAAGCTATCTCCATAAGTGGAAAACATTGGTTTGGGGATTGTAGATCATCAATAAATTGCTCATGTGTGAAATAAAAAGCCACCTTGGGGTCAGCTTCCAGTAAATTCATCTTAAACTCAGGCAATTTGGAAACACCTGGCTACGCTCACTAATTACCTGATTGATGGCTATGACTTGAAAAACAAGATAGAAGTGTCAGACAGTAATGACTTAATCTGAACTTTTAAACACTGCCACTTTTTCCAGTAGAGATCAGGGTCTGCAGCAAAAGAAGCTGCCACAGGGCTGCACATCCCTCTGATCTGCAGTGATAATAGCTCTCTACAAGAAGCTCACAGCCTTCTTGATCTGATGAGTTGCACGCTAAGATCTTAAGATACGACTTGCCGTAGTGGAGAGCCAAGGGATAGTGGAGGTTAAAGGGTGATGTAGCCAGCTCTGCTTTATTGTGATTTCTGCCTCCTTGCGGCAGGACGGAGCTGGCTGCAAGGGGCCTGCAGCGGTGATCAGCCAGTACCATCAGCCTCAGCCACTTCTGTGTGCCCCTTTCCTCCCCGTGCTGACGATTCTGATTACACAGCGGTCCCTGTGGCGGTGCTGGCTGGCCTCTGATTACATGATCTGAGAGTCTTGGGCTACTGAGAGATTAAGAGAGTGTATCAGAAAGCACTTGTGATTCTTCTGCTTTTAAGTGGTACTTTTTGCTGATTTACTGAGAGCTCTTATTTCCAAATGTGTGATATTGCTTTGACCTGTGTGTCCATAAGCTATGGGTTTATGTAGCTGTGATTTCTTACTTGCCACATATACCTTTTTTTTGACACCAGTTGTGTCCCCTGTTGACGCTATTGACATTGTACTGTTCCTAGGTCAACAAAAGCTAAAAAGTCAATTTTTCAAGTGGGTTTGATTGCCTTACAGATTTTACACATGTGAAAACAGTATTTAGGTAATGCAGATATGGATTCTATACAGGCAGAAGGGATATGTGGACTGTAATTTTGGTAATTATACCTGAGCATTTCTGAAATACGTGTTGTGAGAGAGCAACTAATAATTACTAAATAACAAAGAGGTCCCAAGTTTGTAACTGAAACCTGGTCCATGTGCTCTCTCAAGTGTGGATGCTGCTCTATCAGTTTTCAAGGAAATGATTTTGCCTGTTGCAGTTATTGACTATAAATTAATACTGTTGTATATTAGAATTAACCTATCATATACGGTACTTTGAAGGGTTCCTCTTTTGACTTTGAGAAATGCCAGAAACATGAAAACTGTACATTACATTAAAAACATAGCCAGAAGGTGTGTGTTAGATTCACATTCTATCCTGCAATTACCCACTCTTCCAAACTCAAGGTGCAGAGTCCTCCGAGTCGCAAAAAACCTTTAATCTGAGAGAGGAAAGAGTGACAGCATCTCTCCCTCATCTGATGGCACTGGGGCTAATGAGCCCAAGGAGAGCATCTTGCTTAGGTGTATACGGGCCTTCTCCTTCAGGACTTAGTTCATCTCGCCTTGCTCACACCACTGCATCCTTCAGATATACCCTCAAAACAAGACAGTGTCATCTCAAGAGTGTGTGCTAGCTGCACACTGGTCTCTGATAGAGATGCGTACCAGTGCTCAGCCTTTTTGATCCTATTGCTCTTTTCAGAGTCAATTAGGCAGTAAACTTGCCATAGCTGGGGTTGTGCTAGTCCTTCAGTTGCAGCTAGAGCTGCAGCTGTAGCCATCCTCAAAGATAAAGGGAGCATGGCTAGCAGTAGGCTCAGCATGCCCAACCTGCACAGCCTTTTTCCCCAAGCTTTCCATCTCACCATCACTTTGTTGTGCTATTGGCAGTCCTGTTGATAAAGAATTAATAATGCTTAATGAATGAAGCAACTTGGGAGGTAGAATGTGGCCTGAAGTTGTGGCTGGTAGACTAAAAGAGGCAGTGTGCCGTCTGTGCTGCATCTGGGACATGTATCGAGTTCTGCTCTGCCCTGCCCTGCCAACTCTGAGACTGAGGGGCCAGATGGGAGTCGATTTTGTTGTGGCATAAGTTATCATAAGCTATATGAGAAGACAGAAGCTTTCTGAGAGTTGATGGGCTAGTTACTAACTTCCTTCATCTGTATGTGTGAAGTAGTACCGCTGTCATAAGGCTGTAGAAATTGTTGTGAGCCAAAAGCAGTATGGCTTTTCACCCTATGGACACCACTGCTGTTTATTAAATAAGTTGATTTAAAAGAAATTACCACTGAATTTAAAAACTCTTACAGCTGACATGTTTTTCTCTAGAAAGATTTAGGCTTGTTTAGTACACTTGATGGTATGTCAACTCAGCATCAAGAATTTCTGCCCTTATGCATGACTGGCATCCTGCCACACTGATCTTTAGTGAATTACATCAGGGGGAACTGTTGTTTAAGAATACTAGCCAATTGAGTGTAATTGTTTTACTTAAAGAAATATATTGAGAACATTACTCAATCTGTTTTTCTCTTCTCAGTTAGTAGCCTCCATCGTGTTTATCAGCTTTGGCGTGGTAGCAGCATTCTGTTGTGCAATAGTTGATGGAGTATTTGCAGCACGACACATAGTAAGTACAGCAATTTTCTGTCATCTTCCATTTTTGATTGCCTGTGTCATTTATAGCATTTTCTTTTTGTTTATGTCTCACAGTATGTTAGGTTTTTTGATAGTTCTCCTATCCTTGGAAATCATCAGGAAAGCCCATCATGCCAATACCTAGACATGGTGCCAGCTGCTTACTCATATCTTAGGGAGTTCCAAATGTAGAAGTGATGCAAAATGATGTAATGACAAGTGTGATAAATGCATATCTACTTAGGAAAGGGAATTTTTTTCAGCCACCACCAGCATTTGTTCCCTTTTGCACAAAGGCTTTGTGGGCACGGTAAGCATTTGGAACCACCAGATGGTGATGAGCACCAGAAGTCCGGATGAGGTATTTAGAGGGAAGTGGATTGCAACAGCACAAAGAGAACATATTGTTGGAGCAAAGACAGTGAGAGGAAGTGGCAGGCTTTGATTAGATGTGACATGAAGGGGTCACTGAGTGACAAACAACCCAAAATTCACTATCTGCCTGCCTTCAAGAGGCGGGTGGTTCACTTAACCAGAGCGGTTCACTTAATCAGAGTATTTCCAGTGTGTCTTCAAAACCAGCCTTCCTTCTTCCACCAGACCTATTGCCACCTCTTCTTCAAAAGGACATTTATAGGCTTTCACAGTACTGCAGTTGCAGTAGTGTTACTAGTAGTTCATTACTGTCTGTGAGTGCCTAGGAGTCTTTCTCATGACCTTCTTGTGTAAGCACTAGACAAACATAGAACAAAGTTGATTTTGTTTTTATTTTGGCTCACAGATTTCAAATTAAAATATTAGGCAAAAGGATAAATAGAAGTACAAGACAGACTGGATTGTGGGGTCATTTGAATATGCCAGTTTACATATTAGATATGTGTTGTTTGCTGTTCTGTCTTTTGTGATAGAATACCTAAAAATCAATCTAAACCCAATCTTTTAATTGAGCTTTGATTTCCAAAAGCACCAGAAAATAATTAATTATATGTTTCAATAGACACTAGAACTCAGATTTAGTGTGCTACATAACATAGCAAGTATGATGGTGTGTGATCCATTCACTGCTACAAAATATCATGGGCCTGTTTGCCTTTCTGCTTTATGTTCATTGAGGGGCAGCATAACACCACTAGCATCAGTAGAGCTCTACTTAATTTTCTGTTAGCAAATGCATCAGAATATAAGGTTTCGGATTAAAGCTGTAAAGTGATTTCTTTTTTATTATTGAGGAGGACTCTAAACCAAATGTGGGCTTCAGAACCTCACTGCATTTGAAATGAAGGAATAATATTGGTATAAACAACAGAGCTGTACAATAAGAGCATGAATAAACACTCTGGATTGTAACGATGTATTGTGCTATACAGACCCTGCATGATGCTCAGGTGGCCTGCTTCCGCTTGGATTTGCCCTGCTCTGGATGACACCTGGTATAACTTTGTCTCTTGTTGCTGCTTTGGCCACCTCCTTTAGGGAATAACTGCTGGAGAACTGGACTAAAGTGTCCTCCATTCAGGGAAAGGACAAACTCCTGGCATGTCAGAAAGGGGTCCAGGTCTGCACTAAAGCCATAAAGTTTTCACGAGGAGGAATTGGGCAGCATTCACTTTTCTGTATCCAGTGTCAGGGTGCTGATAGCAAAGCTCCAGGTCCCTTTTCTCCTGAAGGGAGAAGTACTAGCTGAAGACAAGCAGGCTTCAATCCAACAACAAATGCAGCATTCTTCACATCGATTTGGAATAAGAAATGTCCCTTGTTTTTCATTTTATTTTTAACTTCATCTGAGTTGGGAGGGATGTGAAGAGGACAAATCACATTACTATAGATTTTTCTTAGTGTGTGTTCCAGCTGTGGAATGGAGACCATTACTGTTGCACATTTTCTCCTGCTCTTGTAAAACTGTGGATAGCATAATAAAACACATTTTCTGTTTTATTTTCTTCCCAAGGAGGTATAAAATTGACAAAAAGTCTTCTAGGAAAGGGATGTATTTCAGAAAAGAGGTATTTAAATTATATAAGGCTAATTTTAAAACATTTTGCTTATAGAAAGCTCTGGAGCACACCACTTACAAAATGAAGAATACCAAAGGAAAAGTAGACTGATTTAACATAGCAGTAGCTTATTTAAAATAAAATGTGTGGATGTAATTTATTATTTAAAGTTAATTTCTTCATTGGTCCCTTCAGCTGCAGTTTCCACCTTAAAACAACAACAACAAAAACCACAAAAACCCCAAACAAATTAAAAAAAAACCAACCAAACAACAAAACCAAAACCCAAACCAAAAACCCAATGGAATCAAATGAAACAAATCAAAGTTGGAACTACTGCTCAGTGATGTTATTCCAGAAAATACGGTGGTCACAGGAATCCATTAACTGCATTTGTGTTTGCTTGAAACATTTCTGTTATTTAGCAGATGAGAATAGCCCAGTTGTGCAGCAGCTAATGGAGATAATTCAACAGCCTCCTCTCACCACACAGAGACCCCCTGTTCCACTTCACATACACATTCTCTGAAGTACTTATTACTCTCCTATTCATGTCTGTAAGCCTATCCATGACCATTGCCATGTGATCCTTAGCTTTGTAGTTATCCTCCAGGCAGAACATAAAATAGCTAGCAGCAAGAAATCCAGATATGAAGTGAGAAAATTGCCTGAAAGGTCTTCCTGAGAAGGTTAGGAAGATGTCAGGTACTAAAAGCCTGGGACAAATGCTTTGTATCGTCTTTTCGCATGCTCAGCTGGAACCACGGAACGTTGGTACTGACCTATGGCCAGCTGCATTTTCCTGAAGTATGGGATAAAATGAGAGTTGGGCATGCCTAAAAGCTCTAGGAGAAACGAAGGACTCGGGCAGGGAAAGTCCTCTCTGCTTGACTCTAAGAGCTGATTTTTGATCTTGTTGAGTGGAATTCACAGACCACATCCAGACAGATTTTTTAGAGAGGGTCCAATAAAAAGAAAAAGCAAAGCTGAAGAGCTTGGCTTAATGCCAGTGAGAGCACCAGAAGATGCAGCAGTAAAATTGCAACTCAGCCAAGAACTGCACCAGGGGTGCCCAGCAACTTCAGTGATAGTCATTGCATTTTAGTACAGGGTGACTTCATAAGACCATGGCATGTAACACAGCTTAACATCACACCCCAAAGCCTTGCATGCTTCAGGCTAGATGTCCTGAAAAGCCATTTGCAAATGTTCTGGGCAAGCCTGTTGGTCTTTCCTTTGAAGAAGAAAACAAATAGCTGTATTCCTGTCTAATGAAGTTGTAGCCTTTATGACTGGTGATAGAAAGTGCAAGTCAAATAAGTAATTTCTCCTTGCAATTCAGTTAACTACCTTCTCTGGAGAAGAACACTAAATGCATTTTACTTTCTTGATGCTTTTACACAAGACAAAACTACAGCTAATTGCTTTAAGTTCCATTTCCATCCTGTATGACTCATTAATATAATAGCATGGCATAGCATGTACCACAAAAGGTTTTAGTGTTTGGTGTGTTAGAGTGAGCACTAAGCATTTATAACTGAAAACTAGCACTAGTTTAGTAGTGATTTTTGTATTGATGGTCCCGCAAGGTGAAAAATGTTTTATTGATGAACTTCTTAAATACAAAGCTTGCAAGCAGTGCATTTTGAAGCCAATGGTCAAGTATCCACAGTTCTGATACTAGCAGTAGGCCTCGCATCTGACACTGAGATGGGAAGCACAGACTGCATGCCTGAAGTGCTAATTAATTACACAGGGGATTAATTATTTTTAATTAATTTAAGGGTTAGAGGACTCTTGCAACCATTTTATGTCAATCTGCCAAGATTTCCCTTTCATACTATCAGATGGCCACAGTCAGGTAGCAGTTACCTTCACACATCCAAGCACAGCCGAGTATACTTTGAACTGAAGGACGAATACTCTTCTTTAAACGTTACAACCCAGATGGTAGAAGAGCTCCTCATGCTGGGCAGGTGTCTAGCCTGACTGGGAGCCCTGGAATGAGTAACAGATATCTGCAAATGCCTAGTGCTTCCTGCTGCATCAGAGCTTGGAAGGTCTGTGTTGCTATCTGCCAAAACCACCTCTTTTCAGGTGAACATCTGCTCTGCAGTAACCACAGTTATATTGATGCTGTTGTAAATTATTGTGGTTTTGCCAGAAGAACTTTCCCAGGCCAAAGGAAGGGTTTTTAGGTGCCTTTTTTTTTTTTTCATGCTAGAGTTTCCTGATACATAAGGAGCAGAGCAGAGAAAAAGGACATCCTAGCTCTAGTATGGAGCCCCTGTGTTTTAGAAAGTAGCAACTCTGAGGAAGGATGAAAACCACTGTGGTGAAAAATCTGACCATAATCTTCCAGAGAGATATTGTAGCTAATTGAACCAACATAACCCATGAGTTACTGGCCAGTAGTGTCTAATAGCAAGATGACACTGAAGTACCTAACAGGTATTTTGTAAGGTATTAGTGGCTATGTCTAGTCTGCGGCTATGGAATAAACTCATCAGCCGTCTGTCTACTGGTTAGCTGCCACTTCAGCTCACTTTCAGAGCCCCCCTGACTCATTTTAAAACAAATCTTAACAAGAGGGATAACACTGAGCTGTGTGGGTGTGAGCAGTGTGAACAGGACCATGTGGCCTCAGGACTAGAGACTGGTCTCTGGCTTTTATTGGGCAATATAAGCATAGACTGTGGGATCATTGCTAGGTTACCGACTCCAGCTCTGGTGTTTCTTTGTGCTTTGCAAAGGATATTACCAGCTTGGAAGGAGTTCAGAGAAGAAAAATCTGAAATTTGAGGTGACAGCTTTTAGCAACAAGACTCAGAAGTTTGATTTATTTGTTAATCAAAGAAAAGGTTGAGAGGTGGATTGATCTTGTTCTGTCTAAGGTATCTACATAATCAAAGGTTATCTGATAGCAGAAGGCTTTTAGTCTCTCACACAAAAGCACAAATGCAGTGAATTGAAGTCAGTGCTAAACAGATTCAAACCA